CTCAGGTGAATACATTAGAAGAGGAAGGAACCCACCACACACATTGCTCATGACTTCCAAAGACAAACTCTCTTTCGTTAGCAAACCAATCATTTAAAAAATCTTTTTGTTCTTAAAAAAATGAGCTCAGCACTCATCTCCAGCATGTCCTAGCCAGGCTTTGGAGCCATTTTCTCACACACACTGGACTCTTTCCTGGCGGGCTCTCCTATAGCCCTTTGGCCCTGTCTTGCTTTGGGCCCCTACACTTCCTCTCCCAGGCTGTGGTTATTTTGGGGAGCTTCTCTCTCCCCTCAGCCTGGAAAGTCTTTGACTGCAGGGGTCATATCACTCATCCCTTTACCCCCTGGAGCACCTGCGCCCAGTGCCTGGCACGTAGTAGGTGCTCAGTAAATGCCTGTCGAGTGGCTCCGGCAGGCTTGAGGTGGGAGGTGTCTGAAGCCCAGGGGTATCCAGGGTTCCCCAGGGTCAGCTGGTGCTGGGGATCGAGAGTGAGGTGGGGCAGGCTGAGAACTTACTGCAGGCGAGACTGTAGCAGTAGACTGAGGGCACCCACAGGTTGGAGGAGCCGGTGTCAAAGACGACGGTGAAATTCTGGGCAGGGGTTCCGATGCCGATAGTGCCGAAGTACTCCACCTGCCGAAGCCGGGACAGGGCAGTTCATGGACCGGGGTCTCTCTGTCGGGGCCTCCCTAGGGGCTCTCTCTGGGTCATCTCCTCAGTCCATCTCTCTACCTTTTCCTTCCCTCCTCACAGTTCTTGTCGTTCCTTCCCAGCCACTGCCTTCATCCCTGAAAGCCCAGTCCTGGTGTCCCTTCCTCCTTGAAGTGTTCCCTGATTGCTCCCCCAATTTACCCTCTGCTCTCTCCTAAGCACCACAAGCATCTAACAGTCTACTGTTCCCTCTTCAGCCATTGTCTTGTCTGTCACAGTCTTCCCATCCTTGTAGCACATGTTCTCAGAGGATGGGGATGGAACCTTCTAGCACCGGGCAAGTGACAGCTTAAGTGCTTGTGCCTTAAATTGTTTATCAGAAGCTAAGCAAGCCACCTAAAGATGGAAACCCGGCTGGTTTTCTTATTTCTACATCTAGATGTGTGAGCAGGTTGCAAGAAAGGGCATTGCCAGTATTTTTCTTCTTCTTTTTTTTTT